GCATTTATTTAAACAGAGAGTGACGGTAGGTGATGGGACCAGCCTTGATACTATCATCAGTCCTCAAACCTGCACAGGCTCACATCACCTGTCTCGGGACTCGGTTTCACTTTTATTTTACTTTACACAGGTTTGAACAGTGAATAGCTTTCCCTGGTGGCTCATCAAACAGAATTAAACCCAAGAAAGGCAGTAAAAGACTTGAAAGCCCAGAGCCAGAGATGCTTTCTGACTCTCAGTAATGCTCACCAGGTTTCACACATAAGTAGGCCTACATAACTAATGAGAACTACAGGCTGCGTTAAAATATTTACTCTACTTCACTAACATAATAAGTATTTTACACTGGAGAAAATAGCAAATGAAAATAAAAAGTTTACAACTGCACAGATTTGTTTTGGAAGAGTTTTGTTTTGACAGGACAGTAGATTGTTGAAGCTGAGAGTTTTTAACAGTTATAGCAGCACAGAAAGAGAAGCTGAAGGCAGGTGAAGTTCTGCACAGCCTGCAAACTCAGTGATCAGCTTCCTCTGGTCGCAGTGCAGCCTTCTCTTTGATAGAAACACAAGTCAAAAGGTCAGAACCTTGTTGCCTGTTGGCGCCACAGAAGGGGGCAGAGTGACCTCTGATGGTTGAGCTCCCTCATAGCAAGAAGGCCTATAAATATGTTACAAAACTAAAATATAAATTAAGTAATAGAAACTTAAATAAAAGGCTAACTGCTGTCCTAAGCTACATATAACATTAGTTCAGTTTCCAGCATATAATCATTGCTTAGCCGGAAGTAGTCAGACTCTGTGTCAGACAGCCTGACAGCAGAGTCTCCGGATATACATAAATTAACATTGTGTGAACTTGATACCTTGTCTCATCTGATCCTTTTCATCAACGAATTCGGGGAAGTCGTTGCACTTCAACAAAACAAAAAACAGATAAACGGTATTTTCGTTTTTGTATTACAAAGGAATTATTATCCAGAGATACCCAGACCGTTTTCTTGTTTGTTCATTTATTGGTTCAAGCGAAAAAACAAACTATCAGAACGTACACGGACCGAGACCGGGTATTTTTATACAAAGTACCCACATTTGTTCACTACAAATGGCACCAATTCAATCCTGTACAAGAACATCACAGACCCCCCGAGAGTTGATGTCAAATGCAATGTGTTCCCAAATAGTTGGGTAAGTTGTTACAATCACACAAATGAATCAAAAAGACTATATGATAATCTTCCAAAACAGGTGGTGATATCAAGAACAATGTTTCTCTCTTGCTGTAACTGACTTTGTCTGATGACTCATGTGCACGAACAGTATGTCTATGTAAGTTTATTTATAGAATAAACTTCCTTAAACGTATACTTACTTACTTACGTAATACTAATAAACTGTTCCTAATTAAAGAACATCTCTGTACATCCTTAGGTCTAACTTAAAAGAGGTGTGTGTGTGTGTTTATTCTTATTCAGAGTCACAGTCAGTGTTTGTCTACAAGACAAGTAGACAAGTTGGAGTGACGATATACACGCCAACATGTGTACAACATGTGAATGGGGAGTACTGGTCACAGTGCTGACAAATGAATGCTGGTAACCTGCTGGAGTGCAGCTTTGTTGGGCCCTGACTGCAAAGGGAATCTGTAAAATATTAAAATACAGAAAGTACCTAGTTTTATCTATGGAGGATGGTTGTAACATTTACATTTCTTCATTTAGCTTTTATCCAAAGCCACTTACATTTGCCATATATGTCAGAGGCCTCTGGAGCAACTAGGGGTTAAGTGTCTTGCTCAGGGACACAGTGGGGAGTTGAACCTGGATCTCTCACACCAAAGGCAGCTGTCTTATCCACTGCGCCGTCACCACCCCGTCACCCTGTCACCACATCACCACATTTTTAAAGAAGTGTTACAACACACCCCACCTCTGTCAGCCCATGCTGAGCTAGCTGTATTACCATAGTGGTTTGAAATTAGAAAGGAAAAAATGCATCACATGTTGCCTGAGAAACTTTATTTCTATCTAATATAAGTCAAACTATTCTATCTGCAATAGTATAGATATTAAATAAAATATAGTCTTGGTCAGAAAATGTACTTTCATACCTCTCTATATATTCTGAATGCACCTCTTTCCAGACTTGATGACCACCAGGCCTGATTAGGGAGGAAGCAGGTAAATACTGAAATGATCACCAAACTCCTTTCTTCTCTCTATTTGGTGGAATTGGTGTTGTTACAACTCTCCCCATGTTACAGCCCTATTTTCATTTTTGAACTACAGACGAATTAGGGATTATCCACAGATCCCCGGACCATTGCTCAACATTACAGAAAGTCTTGAAGCATAATAGTCGAGGACAAACATTTGAACATTTAGTAATCAAACATAAATGAGGAACTGGAATCACCAGTTTGCTGCAATATTCTACTTCCTTTACCCTGTTGGAAATGACAGAAGAATCATTAGTAATGTCTGAGGATGTTGTTTGAAGTTTAACTCTTTAAAGTAGTCCAGGATTGAGAGTGATCCATGAAACATGAGCTCTGATGATGTACCAGAGAGTTGACGGCGTTAAAATGACTTCATGTGCATAAAAGCATCCTGGGTAGAAACTATAGACTGTTCTTCTGAACACCTTTTTGTTTATGTCTTGAATTAGTTCAGTTAGTTGTAAATAAGTGTTTAATTAGATTCTTACCTGATGATGGTCTGAGGACCAAAGCATCAATATTAGTTCTTTCACAGAGTTTCTCACAGAATGCACCTCTCTAAAAGACTTCTGTTTTAGTTATTAAAGCTGTCCAACTTGCATTGATTCTCTCTCTGCTTGTCAAGTCCAGACTTTTTCAGTTAGTTTGACATATTGCAAAGGTCAGTGATGGTGTATATTTGTCTGATACCATAACATGACAAAAAGGCTGCAAGTGGACAATAGTTATATATGAGAAGATATCGACTGCGGCAAGCGGAAGTCTTTTTGTTTCTGGAGCTTTTTTGATAATTTGCAACTGCTGAACATGTTAACTAACCGCTTCCTCTTTCCCCTCTCAGCTGTACTATTTTAACAACTCTCTGGTCAGAGTTTTCACTCCTTCTTACTGGCAGCTGATGACTAAGAGAAGACATTTCATGTTTGCTGTTGAATAAAGTAGAGAGTTTTGTCTGGAAGCTGCTGAACACTGAGGAGACATGGAAGCTGTGATTGGACTGTTGCTGATGCTGCTCGGAGTCTCTCATGGTGAGCTGATGAACTTCTTTAATTGGACACATTTTATGCAGTTATGAGATAAATACATTCAAAATGTACAGTCTGACATCCTCCTAATGCGGAAATGTATTAATTAACTAAAGGTTCTACTAAGAGGAGGGATTTTTCACCAGCTGAAGTTTGTTTTATTTGGTCATCGCAAGAACATTTTCCTGCCTGCATTAAGAGATACTTACAGTTACAGTCCCCATATAAGTTTCAGTGAAACAAAGATCTAATTAAATAATCATGTTTTTCACTAATGTAATTTAAAATGTCACCCATGTTCTTTATAAATCCCTGTTTCCTGAAATGTGGATGTGGATTTGTTGATTTTTGGATTTTTAAATAACTTTTGTTTTAAGGTGTGGAAAATGATGCTGAATGCTGAACGTATTAAAAGTAAATCCACTCGCAGTACTGAATGACCCATTCAAAGTGTTGCTTTTCATGTTAACATATGTATCATATATAATAGTATGTATTATTAGATTATTATTACTGTTACGTCCCCGCTGTCTAGGGGTAGGAGAGACGTAAACATAAACCAGATGGATTTGGTATGGGTGGAAAGATTATTTATTAAGCAGTCAGATACACACAAAATAGTCAAACAGAAAATGGGCAAGTGGGTGCTGCGTAAAACAAAGAACCAAATATAACCAAAAGAGATCCCTCCTACGTGGGGGATTACTAAACTACTTGAAGAAAGATAAACAAAAACCTCTCTAGCCGTTGCTCAGAAGTGGAAAAACACAGGGAGCGCAGCACCCCTACACCTAGTGTCACTAAACAAATATTTAACTACCAGGTGTGGGTAATCAGTGAACGAGCTTCCCCTAGCCCAAGTCTGTAGACTATCCCAGGTGAGTTACCAACTCTCAGTAATACCCAGGTCTCACAAACACAGAAGCTGTTTCCACTGAGGATACATGCACACACAGAGTTCAAGGTTAGGACCAGCGTCAGGGCAAACCACATGGCAAAAGGTAGCTGCCCTGAATCAGCAGCAGACCAGCCTATTTGAGGGGGAAGGCACGAAGGCGGTCCTGCAGGCGGCTTGGCGATTGGAGTAGGGGTGGTGTGCCGCTCCAATCGGAATCGTCGGAGGTGGGAGGCGGGATCAACCAGGCTTGCCGAAGTCCAGCCAATCCCCCGCCTCACAGTGTAACATGCAGGGAGAAACACAGGCAGCCGTAACATTACTGATGCATTATTACTGAGGACCACATGAATACCATTTTAATGTTGTTAAAGTAAAGTAAAGTTAAAAGTACAATATTTTCTCCTGAATGTATTGGAGAGGAAGTGAAATGTAGCAAAGCAAATAATGAAGTAAAGTACAAGTACCTCAAAGTTTACTTTAGCAAAAGTACTTTCAGTTCACTTCTGCTCAAATGCCTGTATAATAACTTCCTGTTTGGAAACTGTGGTCTGCATCAAAACCCACTGTCTCTGTCGATCTGTTACTTTAGAAGAAAGCAAAGAGCAAAATTGTTTAAATTTATTTACAGCTTTTGTGTGGAAACCTTCTGTTACAGCAGAGAGGATGGAGCTCACTGTTTGGGAATTCACTTTAGTAAATTTACTTAATTACACTTCACGCCTGGACACATTTCTGTGTAATTCTTCTCTGCACTAGAATAAGTAACAGGTCTGAGAGAAACAGCTGCAGTGAACCTCCTGTTTCTGTGAGTTTAACATCTCGTTGTCGTTCATCTTGCTGTACTTATATTTCACAACTTGCAGGTGTGGAAACATGTGATGGCAGACAGGATGGAGCTCAGTGTTATGGAGCTTTGGGAGGAACTGTGGTCCTCCAGCTGATGGACAGCGCCTCAGAAATATTTAGATACCAGTTGTTAAGCAAAACAACACTAATTCTTAAAGGGAAAAAGAATCAGATTGTGTTTAATGTGATGGAAGACAGATCCTCATTTACTCCCAGTGATGGAACATTTAGGATCAACAGACTGAGCTGGACTGATGCTGGTGAATATACTCTTGAAATCTTTGATTCAAATGGACGGAGATCAGAGCAGCGGACTCTACATTTGATCATTCAAGGTAAATAACTGTTTTTGCCCAATGGACTTTAATTAATTAAATTTACTTAAGTAAAAGAACACAAGTACCTACAAAATATAATCAGAGCAGGCTATTACAAGTTAAAGTAAGCCCATTGTTCCACTCTACATGATACCACATGGTGGTGCTGTGGGATAATGCACTATAGGAAAAAGGAGGGAAGTGTGTTGCTGTTGCAGTTCCATGTATGCCATGTTGGAGGCCATACCTTGCTTCTGTTAAAAAAATCAGTAACCATCCCAGCCCATCCTGAGTCCTTCTACACATTACACTCACAGTCCTGACGCATTACCATGTAAGTAGCATGTTGATGCCAGCAACTTTAATATTCATGTAAAATATGAATCTGAAAAGTAACTGCTAATTATAGCTGTAAAATAAATGTAGTGAAGTAAAAAGTAGTATGTTTCCCTCTGACATGTAGTTGTGTATAAATCAGCATGACATGGAAATAGCAAGCAAGCAGGTTTATTTCTACAGGAGCTTTTATAAACAAAGTGCTTTACAGAACTGAAGAGGAAAGTACAAATACAAAGATACTTCAGAGAGAAGAAAACAAAGAAATAAAATGAAATTAATAATTAACAGACAAGATATTAAAAACAAGATTGAAACAGTAAACATAAGTTTGTCAAAGTGCTTTACAGATGCAAAGAAACAAATACAAATTAAAAGTACTCCAATAAAGTACAGGTACCTCAAAACTAAACTTTAACGCAGTACTTTAGTAAATTTAATTACTTACACTTCACGTCTGGACACATTCCTGTGTAATTCTTAGCTGCACAGGAATAAGTTCACGTTTTGCTAACAGGTGTGAGAGAAACAGCTGCAGTGAACCTCCTGTTTCTGTGAGTTTAACATCTCGTTGTCGTTCATCTTGTTATTTTTCAATTTTTTTTATAACTTCTCTTTCACAACTTCCAGGTTTGGAAACACGTGAGGCCTCCACTGAAGGTAAGGAGACGGGCATGATAGTGTCCATTAAAACCTGCACTCAGATCACACCTGCCAGAGATGAATCATAGCACTTCACTAAGTGAAAAATAACTCTCCTGTCACAGCTTGACGTCAAATGTTTGTGTGTCTTGTGAACGTTTGTTTGAACAGATCGCTCCCAGCTCATATGTGGCGTGCGAGCAGCTGTGGTGATTCTTTTATTAACTGGAATCACCGTCTATTTTCTTTGGAAGAAAAAGAAGTACCAGACAGCTGAAGGCTCTGCCGACCCTCGAACGATGAAAAGTCAAGAGAACTCTGTTGTGATGGTTGAAATGAGAAGTTCTGCAGCTGAAGTTTAACATTCTGAAACCAAACAAGCGTCGCCGCTCACCTGCTGTGATTTGCCACGTGTCTTTCTGGATGTGTAAACAGGGTTTAGAGTGAAAACTGTCTTTTTTATTCTTCTCAAATTTACTTTTCAGCAGCTCACTGTGAATACCTACCCATACAAAGGTGTGAGTGTTTTCTGCTTTTTAAGCTCTGACAGAACAAAGTCTTTTTATTGTAACCCTACTTCTATGATCACAAGTGGACCAGCCGACTATTTTCAGATTTTATTAGGAGATAAAAGTTTTTAACATTGTCTATTAAAACCCAAACTGTACACCGTAACAATTATGGACATTTTCACATGTACAATAAAGGTGTTTAACTCTTGAATTATGTACTATACTCTCACCGGCCACTTTATTAGCTTGTACCGGGTTGGACCCCCTTCTGCCTTCAGAACTGCCTTAATTCTTGGTTGCATACTTTCAACAAGGTGTTGGAAACCTTCCTCTGAGACTTTGGTCCACATGACAGCATCACACAGTTGCTGCAGATTTGTCGGCTGCACATCCATGATGAGAATCTCCCGTCCCACCTCATCCCAAAGGGGCTCTGTTGGACTGAGATCTGGTGACTGTGGAGGCCGCTGGAGTTCAGTGAACTCTTTGTCATGTTCAAGAAACCAGTTTGAGATGATTTGAGCTTTGTGACATGGAGCATTATCCTGCTGGAAGCAGCCATCAGAAGATGGTTCACTGTGGTCATAAAGGGACAGAATGGTCAGCAACAATACTCAGGGAGGCTGTTGCATTTAAACGACGCTCAGTTGGTGCTAAGTAGGGCGGATTCAGGTATATTGGGACAGTTTCTGTAATTCTATCTTGTGATCTCGTTCTTGTCATAAAGTTAAAAAAGTAACCCAACATATATTTCTATTTCAAGATGTCTGCTTTCTTTATGTGAAGAAATTAAGTGTGTACATTATTTATTTTGTTGTAGTTGACACAAAACTCATTTCATGAACATGTTTGGTAATTTGGGACGCAGTTTTATTAGTGTATAACCGTTTACCCTGTTGAAAGTTACGTGATATTATTTATTAGCCTATCATTTCTTGTGATAGCTTAATTCATTGTTACATCAGCAAATGTCAACAAAATATGTTAAAATCATCAAAGACTCCAACAACAACAGCAACAGACCTTAAATTCATCATAATAATAAATCCACAGATTAAACAAAGTGAGCAGCAAAACGCCTTCATGCATCAGCATCACTTCTTGATTAGACTTAATTATATGTTACAGAACAACCACATTAAACATAGTAAACATTTGCTTTATTGTTTACCATTGTCAGAAGATTGTTGGAATAGGCTAATTTGACCAAATGATAAGGCCTTCTACAGACTATGGGATTACATTACATTTACATTTACTCATTTGGCAGACGCTTTTATCCAAAGCGACTTACATTTGAGGAACAACATACAAGCATCAACTACAGATCTACAACTGACAATACATACTAGTAAGAGCAGCAATAAATACTAGTAAGAGCTCACAGTACATATCACATCAATGGGGTAGATACCTAGGGAAGGAAGTAAGAGTTAACAAAAAGTGCAATCAATACAAGATCATTGTAGGGGATAGAAGAAGAGCACAGGAAGTGCATGTTAGAGGTTAGGAGTTAGAGGTGTTATAAGAGGAAGTGTTCTCGGAAGAGATGAGTTTTCAAGAGCTTCTTGAAGTTAGAGAGGGACGCCCCTGCTCTGATGGCGTGCGGTAGCTCGTTCCACCATCGTGGTGTCACAGATGAGAACAGGGACTGGGATTGCTTTGTGTGAAGGGATGGCAGAGCCAGGCGGCGTTCGTTGGAGGAGCGTAGCGGCCGAGAAGGAACGTAAGTTTGTATTATGGAGTTTAGGTAGATGGGTGCAGACCCAGTAGTCACTCTGTATGCAGCATTAGTGACTTGAATTTGCTTCTGGAGGCCACGGGGAGCCAGTGGAGGTCACTGAGTAATGGAGACATGCTGCTGCGTTCTGAACCATTTGTAAGGGTTTCACTGCACAAGCTGGAAGACCTGCTAGGAGGGCATTGCAATAGTTGAGGCGAGAGATAACCATGGCCTGTACCAGAAGCTGGGTGGCGTACTGAGTGAGGTAGGGCCTGAATTTCCTTATGTTGTATAGAGCAAAGCTGCATGACCGAGAGACAGCAGCAACATGGTCTGAAAAGGACAGCTGGTTATTAATCATGACACCCAAGTTTCTCACCACCTTGGTTGGAGTGATGGTTGAGGAGTCAATTTGTAGTTTGATGTTATGGTGGATAGATTGCTTGGCTGGAATGACCAAGAGTTCAGTCTTAGAGAGGTTTAGTTGAAGGTGTCAAGCCTTCATCCATGCAGATATGACCGATAGAAAGTCCGTGATGGTGGGATAGGTAGAGTTGCGTATCATCTGCGTAGCAGTGGTAAGAGATTAGCATCATTAGTAATAGCATCTTACTCTATCTACTTAACAGTTGCCTGTAGGTTACATCTCTGTGGTTCTGTGTTGACATATATGTGTGGTCCCTCTGTATATCTGGTTTTATGAATCCACACTAGTGATAAATTTCATTTTAATAGCATTTAACACTGTCCCAATATACCTGAAACATGCAAGCAAGCAAGAAAATGTCCTAATTTAAAAAATGTAAACAACGGGGTAGACTAAAATTGATAGACTATTAACTTCTGTTACAAGGATATTTTACACACGGACCAGGTAAAGCAACAGTGAACACACAGAGTGCAGATGTTGGTTTCAGTTGTTTGATAGGCTGACGCTACGTCATTAATAAGCCGACGTGCAGCTCACCTGCTGCCGTGATAACGGATTGCGGGTAGTGATGTGTGATACCACTTAATTCCTATACGATACAATACCAAGTAATACCCAGGATACCAATACCAATACTTTTTACATATATTATTTCTAGTTTAATGTGACTCAAACTACTGTCATATTCTTTAATTATAATAGAAATATCCTGCTCAGAACTGCCGCTTCATAACATCATCCTATTATTGTACTTAATCTTGACTTAACCTCAGATGTTTAGCGAAGTCTTTGCACACACCATCACACACAGCGTCATTATTACCTTGACAGCTAAAATACAGCCAGATGTTTTTACAGTCAGCCAGTCAGTACTGAATCGCGGGAAATGTAAAGGGCTGCAGCGGCTCACTTCAAAGAAGCTCCGTCATCCTGGTGACAGTAAGACACTTACAATAAAACACATACTGACTCCAAATGACTGAGTTTAGATATCGATCCTTTTATATGAGTATCGATCCTACAGCAGGAAACATTGGTATCAGAAATATCGATACTTTAGGATCGATCAGCACATCACTAATTGCAAGTGGAAATATACGGAAAAAAGACGAGTTCTCACTCTTAGGCGACTTTATAAAACTTACTGCTGATGGAGAAAATGAAGCAGACGGGGGGGAGAGACAGAGAGAGACGGGGTGTTTACCTGATGAGCGTCAGTGTGGGGAGAAGAGAGCGAGGCAGGTGCCCAGCATAGGCTACTGAAAAACAAAAAGAAGAATATTCGTGGTCATTAAAACCTGCTTTCACAGGGTGCTATAATGTGAACATTAGAGATTTTTTTTTTCCGGGGGGCGGGGGTTGTCTGTCAGCCATCGCCGACGGATGCGGCCCAACCCTAGTAGCCCACTAAGGGGCCCAAGTGTGCCAAGAAAATATCCCCCACACCATTACACCACCACCACCAGCCTGAACCGTTGATACAAGGCAGGATGGATCCATGTCGCAGCTGAAATCGAGACTCAGACCAGCCCGTCTGGCACCAACCACGTTCAAAGTCACACAAGTCGTCTTGACCACGTCTATGTGCCTAAATGCATTGAGTACCTGATAAAGTGCCCAGTGAGTGAGTGTATGTGTATACAGTCCCCTGCAAAAGTATTGGAACGGTGAAGCAAATTCCTGTTTTTGTTGTTCACTGAAGACATTTGGGTTTAAAATCAAAAGATGAGACAAGAGTTCAGAATTTCATTTCTCATTTCCTGGTATTGGGAGATTTTCTATGGGTACTTCAGGTAAATCAGCCATGTTAAACACACTTTGTGAAAATTGTTTTTTGGATAATCCAAACAGGATTATTTTATTAGGACAGAAAACCTGCGTGGCAAAAATGCAGGAGCCAGCCTTCATTGATGTTTTGCTCCATTATTCCCAGAACATCTTGGGATGGTGGAGCAATCAGTGTCAAACAGTTATGTGTCATCAGTCTCTTTAGGTGAGCCATCTTTTTGCTGACATTTTGAACAATGACTGTACCTTTAATGACTGCAGGGAATTGACTCATCAGTTTTAGAAGGTGTGAGGTTTCCCTCTACAGGTTTACAGAGGCGTTACTGTTGCTTTAGGATAATTCTGTATTCAGAAAATAAAGATCGATATTAAAATAATCATATAATCCTCCTCACTAATGTAGAGTGTAAAACATGGTTACTGCTGCAAGTGCAATGTCAGAAGTCTTGCTATTTTAGGTCATTTGACTTTAATCAACAGTTGCCAGTGGAGGGCGACAGAAGCTAAGAGAGGAAAGAGAGAGGAGGGGGGTGTTTCCATGAGGAATTATACAGATAAGCTTCAAACCAGGAACGTTGAAGAGAAATAGTTTGAGCTGTGGGCGAACAGCTCAGTGTGAATATACATATTTTAGCTCCTTGTGTTCGTGTTATAAACGAGGAGCTGAAATAAGCAGTTCAGTTGGTTAATATTCAGGTGATTAATCTGAAGCTGTAGCTTTTGTTAGTTGAACATTATTCTTCGTTGTAAATCCAATAAGCAAAATTCTAGGTGTCTCTCAAGAAATGTCATACAAAGTTCTCTGTCGTTTATAATATTTTGACTTCACTGTCTAAACTAGAATTTAAAATACAACTTGGTGTGTGTTGTAGGCAGGGGCAGTTTGAGAGTTTGAGCCAGAATCTCAGGCTGTGAATTTTGATTAAATGTAACTTGTTATTCATTTAGGGTTAATAAATATAATGCATCAGATGCTTTTGCAGAAATGACAACAAAGTCATGTGGTTTGTAATAATGTATTTGTTAATATTTGAACATGGACTCCTCAGAAATGTGAAGGAGAAATGTCTGTCTGGAAGCCGCTGACTGGTTCAACAGAGGCTGAACACTGAGGAGACATGCAAGCTGTGATTGGACTATTGCTGATGCTACTCGGAGTCTCGGAGCTGTTTAATTAACAACTAACACATATTAAAACTGAAACTTCTTGCACAGCTATTTGTTTCACACCCATTTTTGAGTGGCCTTTTATTGTGGCCAGCCTAAGGCCTTTTATTGTGGCCAGCCTAAGGCCTTTTATTGGGGCCAGCCTAAGGCCTTTTATTGTGGCCAGCCTAAGGCCTTTTATTGGGGCCAGCCTAAGGCACACCTGTGTAAACTCTATGCTGTCTGATCTGCATCTTGATATGCCACACCTGTGAGGTAGATGGATTATCTCGGCAGGGGAGAAGTGTTCACTAACACAGATTCTGACAGATTTGTGAACAATGTTTGAGAGAAATAGTGTTTGAAATGGATATCGGAGCTTTTCTAATGTTCAGTAACTTTTTAAATCTAGTTATTTAAAAGAGCAATTGCAAATCCAGACATCAATTCCACATCATTGTGCGATTAGTAAAAATCACAATTATGAATTAACCCATTAAATTATTCATTAAAGCGTTTAATCCCTGATAGTCCGTTTTTAGTCAGTCTGACAGCCTGAATACAACCTTCAAATGTATAATGCAACTGCAAAACTGTCTGCTTCTTTCTGAGATCACTTTTTCCAACAAATCTGACAATATTTCTCCGGGGAGTGCAGTAGCCTAACAGACTGCGGCTGTGCAGGCAGTTTGTCGGTCTTAGCAACAGTAACTAAGGGGGGAGGGGCTTAGCGAAGGGTCTCAGCTGAAGTTTACAGAAACTCCACAAGATGGCGCCCGTGTCACTAAAACAAAAACCCCAGAGGGAAAAGTGACGTTAGAGCCTGTTTTATATTATAGACAGGATAAAAGTCTCATAATGGTCAAATCTAGCAGTGACTAATAACACATGAGATTAACAGTGGTGATGATGGTAGGACTAAGGGGAATCTTTTAATCTGCTTATAGACATATTTTATATTTGATATTGTGACACTGAGTGGAGGAAATAATAATAATAATAATCTTTATTTGTAGAGCACTTTTCAAAAACAAGTTACAAAGTACTTTAACAAGTGTAAAGACAATAATACCCAAGAGACAATAATACAAAAACTTCACGATCGGGTTCAGTAGTGAGGAAATACTCCTGAGTTTAGCCCACAGTCTCTATCATGCACCTTAAAAACCTTTCCGTGGATTGGGCGTCTACAGACGAAAACACCAGAGTTTTGCTTTTTTGTGACTTTAATTTCAGGGAATTTTCAGATTTTTCTTCTTGTAAATTTGAAACCTTCATCTAGGATTTTTTTTTTCTTGGTTTATTAACCCCCACCCCGTAATTTTTGCCACGTAAAATAGTCAATCTAAATATGTGAAAACACTCAGCAGAACTCAATTATAGCCTACAGATGGGCTCCATCTAAGAAACTGTCCTGTTAATTAATTAAGATTCCTCTCTAAATCCCCGAGGCTGCAGGACTCGCTGTCTGAACGTGATGCTGTTGTGTTCAGAACTTCAGTGCAGCCGCAGAGGAACAAATCAGGCTGAAATCTAAACATATTTTATGAAGTGGTGTGTATTAATACTTCATCATTAACACTGAGTACAGATGTGGTGTGTAGTCCACCTGCAGGGTAACCTCGAGTTAACCACGAACAAATCCTGCTCGGAGCGGTTTAGAGATGCGGCGTAATTGCCATGGCAACAGACCTCGGGTAACACCCGTCCACCTTTCGTAGTACGGGTTAATCAGGAAGTTACACCCGACGTCACCAAGTTACTCCTGAAGTTACCTGGATAAGCCAGTTACCCCGCTTCGTAGTACAGGCCACAGGTTAGAAGAAAACAAATAGAGAGCAGCTAAATTCTGTCTATCATATGTTTCAAAATATTGGATGTCTTTAAAGCTTTCTTGTTTTTAACACTCTGCCAATAGAAAAATCTAAGTTTTTAGGGTCAATATGAAACAAGTGTCTGTTTGGAAGAAACTGCATATATTTAACTTTATGAATATGATGTTTACCCAGAAGACATAACAACTTCACCAGATCAGCAATTTCACAGTTTATAGATTCCACATTCAAAAGTAAGACCATGCTTTCAGATAAAGGGACCGAGATCTTATGAGATTCCCATATTAATTATACCATTTGTGACCAAAAGTCATTCAGTCATTCAGATTATAAACTACTTGCTGCACTTTATGCTAAAAGGTTAAAATTGTGTTTAGAGGAGATTATTTCTCCAACGCAGTCGGGCTTTATGAAGGGCCGGCACATTTCCAATAATATCTGTCATGGTTCTGGATATTTTATATTACTCTGAGTTATTTGACGGCGAGTCATTGATCTTGTGTTTGGAGGCTTTAAAATATTTTGGGAATAATTTTAAAGAAACCTTTAGAAATATCATACGTACATTTTATACTAACATTAATAGTTGTGTGTCCTTATGGCACTTGCCCCCCTTTTGAGGTCCACCGTGGGATCAGACAAGGGTCTGATCCACGGTCAGTCCTATTTCATTTTCATTTTTTATTTTTAATGGCTGCTGAACTTCTTCATTTGTATATTGTTCATTGTGTGAAAGTACAGGGTATAAAGATAGGTAACAATACTTTACTCATTAGTCAGCTGGCTGATGATACCTGTTCGTTCCTCCAAAATGGACTCCAAGTACCAATTATTATAAATGCTTTAAAAGTATTTTCACTTGCATCTGGTCTCACAATTAATGAGGATAAGTGTGAAATAGTGACTGTACATGATACAAATATCCTCTCAGTAGACGGGGTAAAGGTTAAAAAAGTTGTTAAATATTTTGGTATCACTATAAGCAAATATAAAGAAGATAAGACAAGACAGCATTAGAGGGCTCCTCGCGCTGTTGTGCTTTTTTCATTTCATTTCTTCCAAGTCCGCTTGTTGTCGTTTGGCATAGTCATGAACACGTTTAAGATTGTAAAACCGTACCTTCCTCTTCCATTGTCTCCCCATTATCTGACATTTCAGCAGAATGAGTTGTCATCTGCAAAGTGGAGCGCCAAAGTATCCAAGAAACAGTCAGCAGTTAGCTAGCTAATAGCGTTAGCTTGACGAAGGCACCGTTCGTTGGAGAAAAAACCCACAGAAATATAAACCAGAACTGGGTCAAAGTTTCGCCAACCGTTCTCAAAACATTGTTCTTAACGTTGGAAAAAAATATTTACGTGTTACTTGACTTTGGGGAAACAAATTCAAGCCCTGAACGAAAGAGCGTTGCCAGAGTACAGAAAGACCGTGTTACAGCGGCGCCATCTTGGCCCCCCAGCCCTCACAAATGTGTTGCGAAGCATTTAACTGACTTGTGGAGCTTCCGTGGCCTGAGACCAGGATCTGACGTGACCTTTCAAACAGCAACACAGCTGCGTGGCGCTCACTCTCCTCAAGTTTGAAATGAACTAATGTGAGGGACCAGATTCATAAAACATCTAAGGCTTCATGCAGCTCTTAACCGGCTGAGTGAGATGGATTAACACTAAACTTTAGAAAATCTGTCTTTTCTCCCACCTGCATTGGTGTCATTTACACTGGGGACGCTGGGGACATGTCCCCGTCACTTTTTGAAAACATTTGACAGTTTACATGCATACTGTCTGTATTAGTGAGTGTAGTGGTGCTGATGGGATGTCGCTCTGGGACGGGGAGTAGGAGGCTGGGAGGGAAAAATCACAGTTTACTCACTGCAGAAATCTACAAGACTGTACTTAACCTTAACATTACATTAATATTTCATTTAGTTTATTGTCTTTAGTGGTGCAAGTTTATTAAGCAGCTCTGCCTGAAACAGTTAAAGTTTATTAATTCAGGAAGAAACAGAAACACTCTGACTCTCTGTGAGCTGCAGATCTCTGACTTCAGGTAAATGTGCTGTTATCTCAGCATTTTAAATATTGTAATTTGGTTTTGTTTTCTAATCCATATATTTGTTCAGTCCGAGTTCAGCGAGAGAAATCTCTCTGAAACAGCAAAACTTCATCACAGATTCTAAAAGCTATAAAATAGGTTTACATTTTTTAAAATCAGTTTTACACACAGACCTTCACCTTGTTGTCGACCATAACCAGAGGGCAGGTTGGTAGTTTGAAGGTGAAGGAGACACTGAAGCTGACCTGCTCTGAAAAACATGTTGGTGTCAATAAGTGATTTAAATTATAATTATTCTTCCTTCAGGTTCTTAAAATGCAGCCGTTGATCTCCAGTTGAATTTGTCTCTGGTGTTTCCAGCAGAGTGACATCATGGCGTCTGCAGCATCAGGTGAGTCCAGTCAGACTGTGTTAGTCTGGATAACACTCTTCTCTCTCTGTCCACATATTATACAGATAATAAAAACACCTCAGTCCTGAATTAAACTCAGCTGGTTGGTCAGTTTCATTATAATCTAACAAAATAAACATCTGTAGCTCAGTGACAGAACAGACAGACAGAGATCAGAGGCTTCACGCAGAGATTCAGCTGGATCACAGTCACTGATCAACAGGGCCGTTTTTAGGATCTTGAAACATTTTGGGGGTTTAGCCCAGCCCATAAAATTTCATATCTTCACATAACTGACCCCTTCCCCCCCGAGTTAAGTCTGTAAAGCAGTAAAGCAACAGAAAACATCCTCTACTTATACAGCACAACAAAACTATTAACTGTGTCATTTTGATGTTGCTAAATTGTAATGTCATGTGTCTAATTATAATAATATAACAACAAATCTACGGTAATATGAACCGGAGGGTCTGAGGGTTCCCCCACAAAACTCTCGTGTTAAACACTTAATTTCCTGCATTCTGGTGTTTTACTGCATCAATTTAAAGTGGAAATGTATTTATTTATGTAAAGGGACACACAAAATTCAGGTAGCAGCAGGTGGCTGAATCTTTGTTTCACTGGTTGCTTTTAAATGACCTGCAGGCAATTCTGCCTTCAGATGTTAGGACTCGTTTGATCGTCCTTGTTGCTGAATATTCAAGAACATTTTGATATTTATGACCTTGTAACTGATTATTTATTCCTATCTTAAATGTGCAATTGTACTACTGCAAAGAGTTGTTCTGGTTAAATAAAAGGTATAATAAAACAATTTAAAATCTAAAACTGTAACAGAGGATAATGCAGAGCAGCTCTCAGCTTTCAGATATGTTTCTCCTGTAGATCAACTTTTAATATCATCACTGCTGAATCAACACACAGGCAGACGTGACTGATTGAGGTAACTTCTTTAAATGTGCACTGGCATCAATAATAAATTAAATCATTAATTCAGTGATAAACTCCTGGACTTTAATAGCTCCTGTGTTTCAGCAGGTTTTCTGCTCATGTTCAAAGTTCTGCACATTCAGAATCTAACTGGGTTCTCTGACATTTCCAGAATAAAGGATATTTTGAGAAAAGAAAGTTGTGTATCCCCCGTCAAAGTGACCAATGTTACTTCACTAGAGGTGCAGCGAATCACAAAACCCACGGCTCGATTCAATCCATGGTTAAGGGTAAATTTTATTGTAAAATGTGCCCCTTCATTGGCTCTGATGCAGCTGCCTCTGTGTCTGTAATCTGTAGTCCTGCCCAGCGTCCCTGGTTGGTTACACGTTACGAATAATAATCATAATAATTGAAAGTTACGATTACGTTACTGTAATTGAGTAGATTTTTTGGTGTTCTTGTAGCCTACTTTTAAAGTAGTTTTTACAGTGTTTTACTTTTACTTAAGTAGCCCTGTTTGAAGATTGTACTTTGCTACATTTTAAATCACATCCGTTGCCAGTGTTGGGCAAGTTACTTCCAAAATGTAATACATTATAGATTACTAATTACTGTCATTCGAGAGAAGAGGAATAAGTTATATTACTGTCGCTTTACACTGCTTTTGCGTTGCTGTTGAGTTACTTTCACTGCTGTTTATTGGGCGCATTATTCTGATACTATAGGTGGGTTCTAGTGATGTGCAGAGTTGCAGGTCTTTGTCATAAAAATGAACTTTCTGATTAGTAGCGCAGTAGTTGCTCCAGAGGCGTGCGACCTCTGACATGTATAACAATTGTAAGTCGCTCTGGATAAAAGCGTCAGCTAAATGAATAAATGTAAATGTAGCGGGAGGGGAGTGGGGTGAAATAGGATGAATCATCTCATTTACGCACGAGGTACGAGGTCTCCCGACACTCCGACAGGATCTGTCAGGATGAACTGACGGCAGCCTCTCTGATCATGAAAGTGATGTGGCGTCTCATAACATGAAAGGTCTCTAAAGTTGTTTTGTTTGCACCATTGCTTGGCAAAGTATCTGTCAAACGAACTAAAATCGAAAGGCAAATTGCAAAAGACAAAATTAATTAATAAGTATAATAAATAAGATATTACAGTTTTTCTCAGTTGCTAAAACAGTGAAACCCATTGGCTGAACAAAGTTCGCAGTTGCCTGAACTCATTTAGCTAATTGTGCAGTCTGTTGTCAATACCTTGAACCATTTCACATTTCAAACACAATTTGCAGATCTCAGTTCAGCAGGACTCTAAACACATTCTGCACTCTAATGCACATGTCATCCATACTGGTAAACACAAGTGGCAACAATCAAATGCAAATAGAGAACACATCACTGATTAAACACAACCACTCAAAATCGATTTCACTTGTTTCAGATCATGTGACACAACCAATATAAGCCAGTTCAGAGAGCAAACAGCTTGTTGAAGGTGGGACGGAGAAATTGTCCAGCGCTGTTATCATCTCAGGCATCATATACCCACGCTTGACAAGCGTAGTTATTTCACGCAAAAGGTCGTTTTTGCGTGTGTAGGAGACGCCCCAGGTGCGTGAGGCCGATGTGCACAGCTGTAGGGTTAAGCTGATGACGAGTAAAGATTACTACCATAATCCCCCTCCCCCTCCGCTGACCCGCCGCCGCGCCCCGCCACTCTGTTCAAAACATAGTTAGACTTGCCACCATCAACATTGCCCGGCAACATTGCTCAAAAAGTTGCCCTGTGTATCATCAGCTTTAGTCTCCTGTGCGTTAGCGTTTCATACACATGCTGACTCAGCGTTTACCCGCGGTTTCTCAAAAGCGTGGGTACATAGCGCCTGAGATGAGAAGGGTTGGGAAGGAACAATGATCCCCTACTGGAGCGTATCTTGGAATTGCTGCTTTACAATCTCCTGTTAAAACTTCCTCTTCTGTTGTGGCAATCGATAGGCGCGCTGGGAAACGCCGGCATCACCGTTTAATCGGATTTTATGCTTCAGTACTGAGGTACAGCCTAAAGTGGCGGTGCAGTGGCTCAAGAAAAGCTGGTATAATTTCCCTCCACTTTAAAGCACTTTATGCAACAGCAGCATGGAGCAGACTGTGGAAGTCCTCTTCCTCAGGTAACCAGGCTACGTCCCACAGACTGTCACCACAGGTGGATACAAGCAGAAATGCCCTGTTCATGTTCAGGTCAGCCCAACTTTCACCAGGGGACAGTAGAGGCTGGAACGGGAAAACTCTAGCCTTGTGATCACCAGTAAAAGAGTACACCTGGGCCTAAACATTAATGAGGGGATCACTTAAGGTCAAGTAGCCCCTGCGTCCACAAGTGCTTTCCCATGACGCTGGTAATCAGTCATGGGCACGACCAACTTTTTCAGACTAGCGGGTGCACAAGATGGAGTCTCCCCCCTGCTAGTAGACTTTGTGTTATAACACACTACTTTCTTACCACATGTGATTCAGTAAATAAGTGAACAAATACTGTCCTTCCAATCACAGGTGGTCAGCGCCCTCCGAAGCGCAGAAGCAGCTTAGAGCGCCTGCCTCCTCACAGTGAGTCAAACTGAACTGTGTTATCCTCTTAAAGAATATCAGAGTTTACAGTATTTCAGGTACAATCTGTAAGAAGTAACTAACCTGAAGTTAAACAGAAATTCAATTATAAATTGTGTTTTTCTGCCTTCTCTATTTTTTTTTTACTTTTCACAGTGTCTGAGCTGAGGGTTGTTCTGCTGGGGAACAGCTGGTCTGAGAGGAGTTCAGTGGGGAACTTCATCCTGGGAGAGACTAAGTTCAACACTGAGGAAGAACCAGACCGCTGTCTGAGAGAAAGAGGACGGTTAAAGGAGAAAAAAATAGTTCTCATCAACACCCCAGATCTGCTGCATCCCAACATCTCTGAACACAAACTGACAGAACATGTGACAAACTGTGTGAGACTCTCTGATCCTGGACCTCATGTGTTCCTGCTGGTTCTACAGCCTGAAGACTTCACTGAGAAACACAAACTGAGGCTCTGCAGAGTCCTGAAACTCTTCAGTGATCGATCATTTGATCATTCACTGGTTCTGATATCAACACTCAGACGGGAGGTTCCAGGTTTGATGGACAAATACATGGAACAGCCTCCGTTAAAAGACCTGATCAGAAAATGTGGATACAGATACCTGAAGCAGAAGAACCTCGAACTTCCAGAGCTGTTAACACGCTTGGATCAAATCGTGAAGGAGAACAATGGAGAGCATGTCAGCTGTGATGCGTTCAAGGACACAACAGCTTCTTTACCAGGTGATCATCAAAGATTCTGTTAAAGCTGCTTTTGCAGAAACAATTCTGACAAGGCAATGAAACCTTTGTCTGATTAAATGAGTGTGGAAGAGCCTTAAACCTGCGTCCTCTCCAGCAGCCAGCAGGGGGCGACTCCTGCAGAAAGAAGTGTGATTGTATAGAAGTCTGTGAGAAAATGTTTCTACTTGTCAGCTGATTTATTCCCTCAGTAAACACTTTCCTGATGAGTTTATAGTTTCAAGTCTTCTTCAACACAGCATGATGTTCATTTATTATTTTTAAAATGCGTGAATAAATCCAAAATTGTAATACTAACCCTTAAGGAAGGGGGTCAGTGCGCATGTGTGGGTGTAGCGGGTGTGTGTGAGGTCAGGCACAAACAGACCGAGTGTTGTTCTACTCTCAGTTTACCGTATGCAACACCTGACAATTCTCATACGACTAAATCCATAGGGGGGGGGGCAGCCCTAATAATAACACGTTTTTAACTAAATGTTGACACTAGGAATTGAACCAGAATATTGGCCGAGCGTGAATAAGACTATGAAATATATCCTCAAGTCAGCCAAGTGCAGTGACTTCAAACTCTGATGAAGTTTGTCATTTTTATCTTTCTCCATTTTATCTTACAGCATCTGGATTCAGGATTGTGCTGCTGGGAAAATGTGAGGACAAACAGACAAAACTTGGTAACTTCATCATCAGAGACCAAGGCTTTAATTACCAAAAAACTTTCCCAACCAGGCAAAGTGTGGCCACCTGTGGAGAGTGGAGAGGAAAACCATTAACAGTAGTGAAAACTCCAGACATCTTCAGTCTGACTGTGGAGAAGCTGAGAAGAGAGGTGAAGAGCTGTGAGACTCTTTGTCCTCCTGGACCAAATGTTCTGCTGCTGTTAGTGAAGCCTTCTGATTTCACTGAGGAGAACAGACAAACACTGAAGTTCATCCTGAGTTTGTTTGGTCAAGATGCTTTTAAACACTCAATGGTCATCAGCACACATGATGGAACAAGTAGCTCTGTCAGCCAGCTGCTTCAAGACTGTGGAGGAAGACACTACAGGATGGTAGAAGAAGACCATGGACAGCTGATGGAGAAGATTGAAGAAACAGCAAATCAAAACAACGAATCTGTACTGCCTGTGCGTGAACACATCAGACCAGCTTTAAACCTGGTTCTGTGTGGGAGGAGAGGAGCAGCTAAGACTTCAGCAGCCAAGGCCATTTTAGGTCAGACAGAGTTTCATTCAGTCTCCAACTCATCAGAGTGTGTTAAACATCAGGGAGAGGTGTGTGGACGTTGGGTTTCCCTGGTGGAGCTGCCTGCCTTGTATGGAAAACCTCAGGAGGCAGTGATGGAGGAATCACTCAGGTGTATCTCCCTCTGTGATCCTGAGGGCGTCCATGTCTTCATCCTGGTCCTACCTGTGGGTCCCCTCACTGATGAAGACAAGAGAGAGTTAGAGACCATCCAGAACACATTCAGCTCTCGAGTCGATGACTTCACCATGATTCTGTTCACTGTGGAGTCAGATCCTGCAGCTCCAGCTGTTGTTAACTTTGTAAAGGAAAACAAGGACATCCAGGAGCTCCGTCAGAGCTGTGGAGGAAGATATGTTGTTCTCAACATCAAGGACAAGCAGCAGATCCCAGAGCTGCTGGACATGGTGGACAAGATGAGACAATCTGAAAATAAACCATCCTGCTATACAGCTGTAACATTTGCACGTGCACAAATGGAAAAGGTCATACAACAAGAGAGGATAATAAAGAAGAACAAGATCACTTGTAAGTACTTTGAATTGAAATGTTTTTCTGTGTCCTGAACCATGTTGATCATCACAGTCTTGAACCTTCACTGTAGCTGCTGAGAATATTTAAAGTAACTCCAGGTCTTCTTCTTTCCCAGGTGATGATGAGGAGCAGAGACCAGAGAGTCTCAGGATTGTGCTGATAGGGAAGACTGGAAGTGGAAAGAGCTCTACAGGAAACACCATTCTAGGAAGAAAAGAGTTTAAAGCCAAATCAAGTCAAACATCAGTCACCAAACTTTGTCAGAAAGCACAGAGTGAAGTGGACGGTCGTCCGGTCGTTGTGGTCGACACTCCTGGTCTGTTTGACAATAGTTTGACCCATGAAGAGGTTCATGAGGAGATGGTGAAATGCATCAGTCTTCTGGCTCCAGGACCACATGTCTTCCTGTTGGTGTTACAGATCGGGAGACTCACACCAGAGGAGAAGGAGACATTAAAACTCATCAAGGAAGGCTTTGGGAAGAATGCTGAAAAGTTCACCATCATTCTTTTAACTGGAGGAGATAAACTAAAGCGTGAGAAAGTTTCCATTGAAGAATACATTGAACATAAATGTGATGATTCCTTTAAGAAGCTGATCTCTGACTGTGGAGGAAGATACCATGTGTTTAATAACTATGATGAACAAAACCGCACACAAGTCAGTGAGCTGATAACCAAGATTGACACCATGGTGAAGGAAAATGGAGGCAGCTGCTACACCAATGAGACGCTGCAAGAGGCCGAGGCAGCTATAAAGAAAGAAATGGAGAGAATCCTGAAGGAGAAGGAAGAAGAGATGAAGAGAGAGAGGGAGGAGCTTCAAAGAAAATATAAGAAATGGAATCAATGAAGAAATTGAAAAGGAGAGAAAACTGAGAGAAAAAGAACTTAAAGAAAAGGAGGAGAAGATAAAGAAGGAACAGGAAATGAGAGAAGAAGAAGACAGGAAGAGAAAACAACAGGAAGAAATTCAGCGACAGGAGTGGGAACGAAAGGTTGAAGCTTTGGAGCAAAATATAAGATCAGAGTCAGAATCAAAGGAAACCATTGACAGAAAGCTGAAGGAGAGCAGAGAAGAGATGAGAAAAGAACGAGAGAACTGGGAGAAAACACAAAGAGAATGGTGGGAAAAACGATATCAAGAAGACGAACAGAGACGACAGGAGGAACAAAGAAGACTTAGAAAGCTTCAAGAAGAATACGAACAGGAAAGAGAAAATGATGAAAAGAAAAGAAAGGAAGAGGACAGAATCAGAAGAGAACAAGAGGAAAAAGAGAACGAAGAACAGAGAGCAGAAACTGAAAAGAGAAAAAACTGAGAGAAAAAGAACTTAAAGAAAAGGAGGAGAAGATAAAGAAGGAACAGGAAATGAGAGAAGAAGAAGACAGGAAGAGAAAACAACAGGAAGAAATTCAGCGACAGGAGTGGAAACGAAAGGTTGAAGATTTGGAGCAAAATATAAGATCAGAGTCAGAATCAAAGGAAACCATTGACAGAAAGCTGAAGGAGAGCAGAGAAGAGATGAGAAAAGAACAACTAAAGAAAAAACACATCAACATGAAATGTGTGACCAAAAAGAGAGAAAATCTGAAAAGAATCAACAACTTACTGAAAACACATGAACTACAAATTATGAGGAAAAGAAAAATGTGCAGGAAACCAAATAAGTGATCAGGGCCCTTATTTATCAAGCTTCTCAAAGGGCCATTTTAATCTGAAGTGCTGAGAACTCATGAAACTTACTCCTGCTTTCAAACTTAAGTATAAAAGCAAGTTATCAGATTTGATAAAGCTGAGAATGACTCTTACTCTCCCAGTTATTTAAGAAGCTCCAGAGGTCTCTCAGGCGGTCGGAGCTGCCAGCAGATGGACCGAGCAGACAGAGACATGCGCAAATATTTCAGGAGAGGAAACATTTCTGAATTATTTGACGACGCACAGTTAATAAGACGGGTCGGACAGCGCAGGCGTAGTCTTTGTCAGCGAGTTGGTGAGGGACGTCATCTCAACACTGACTACGCAGTAATGCGGTTTCTCAGTCAGATTGAAGGTTGTAATGACGCTTCGTTTCTTTACCACAGGATTATTTCAATAAGCCGAATAGTCACGGAAACAGTCATAGCACTTACAGCTCCACGCACTGTCACGCGTTTCATCCCAACACACTGATGGCGCTCACATAAAGATCAACTTTTTACTCTTTCATTTATTAATGTATAGGCCCATATCATAATATATTCTCTTGAATATTCTGTATTGTTAAATGTGTGTTGAATAAAACTCCTCTTAGGAATTTCACCATTTTACGTGAATTTATCTGAGAATATTCTTAAATAAGGAAATCAGTGATTGGTCCTTGGCTACGTCGTCATCCAAAATCCTGTTTGCGGCACAGCAAAGTGTCGTGAATCAGCAGACTGACACTTAAGATTTAGTCCTGCACTTCACTCAAATTAGGACTGAGATGCTTGATAACTAACTTTTAAGCTTTGAGCCAAGAATGTTTTTACTCTTCAGTCGGTTCTTAGCAGCGTTCTTATGAGAAATTCTGAGAAGCTTGATAAATACGGGCCCAGATGCAGGAACTGATGACACAAGCTGGTTCATTTTATGAGGCTTTGTTTCATGTAAACGTCTCATCAACAGAATAGTTTTCAGATCTGTTTCCTTTTTTCTGTTTTGACTTGGTTTCACTGATTTTAGTGAAACTGTAAAGAAACAGAGATTTCATTGTAATATTTTCTACACTGTGATGTGTGTAAGAGCGTTTTATTAGGACTAGGTGGAGAGATTATATCTCCACACTGGCCTGGAAACGCCTCAGACCCCCCAGTCAGAACTGGTTAACGTGGATCGGGAAAGGGAGGTTTAGGGTCTCCTGTTGGAGCTGCTGCCAAAGTGATCAAGATAAATGGATGGACATCATCGGCTCTGAGTCGGCACACATGGCATGGGGATAGCTGCTGTCTGAAGTGCTGCTGCATCAGTCTGAGCCTCTGAGAGAGAACGTGATGTGATCAGAGGGAAAGACTCATTTATCATGAGCACACATGTAGGTCCAAACACAGGAAAGCTCCCAGCAGAGATCACAGTAGGTCCTCACCAACACTGACTGAAAGAGTCCAAAAAGAGCAGTGAGCTGAAGCAACACCTCTGGCAGCGTCCCAAAATAAAACATCAGGAGCTTCATGAAGCCCAAACATGTTGCTAACTGTCCTCCTGCATCAGACTGGAGGTGTTCCTGTTATTGTGTCCACCCCCTGTAGAATCACTCGGATCCTTTTGACAGTGTTTTGTCCAGCAGGTGGCGCTCTAACATGAACTACTGATCTGAAGTCAGTTTCAGATCTGTTTGGATTTAACTCTTCATCATTTCCTGTTTTTACATTTTCTCTTAAAGCTTTTGAAACATGAACCCTGAAAAGCTTCAAGGTGCTTTATGTTAAATGTAACATTGCTAATGATGTTTAATATACATTTTACTACAGCAGGGTCAGAGAACACGTTTTTATTATTACTCTGACTTAAATCAGTGATGAGAAGTTTCCCTGTAACTTTAGTCCCGTTCTGTTCTCCAGTCTCTCCACAACATGTTTCCTCTTATTTACCTCACTAAGACTTCATGAAACAGTCTGGAGATTCAAATTCAACCCGTTAAAGCTGCAGCACAAGTTCAGTCACATGTGAACAGTTCCAGCTGTTTATTATTTAGAACATTATTAGCAGGTAGGACAGTAAGTAGGACAGCTCATTTAAAATGTAAAATGTACTATTTCTTGGATTTGAATGTTATATATTAAATGGAATTTTATTTTAATGGGTTATGATACACATCTTTTTATTATCTTTATTATTTTTGTATTTTCATATTAATTCAAAACATAAAATGTTTGAAACTTTTCCTCGTGGTTTTATTATGTTGTCATATTGCATCAATACAAACACAACACAAAATACTGGTTTCTGATGTCTGCTGGCGTCTTTAACCTTTAAAATAACCTCTGTCTCTGATTGGCTGGTCGACATCCATTCGTTTCATGTAAGGAGACGCCATAATAATAATAATAATAATAATAATAATAAGAGCAATCAATTTAAAACAGACTCATTTAATAAAAATCAGTATCAGGGGTGTGCAACAAATAAAACATAAAATAAGTCAATGTTTAATTAAAGGAAAAAGTAATTACATCACATAGTGGTTTCAAATCAATAAAAACATAGAACAAGTCAACACACATATAAAGCTGGAATAAATTACACATCACACACTGAAAGCTTTTTTAGTTTAAATGAGTCTTAAGAAGTGAGAAAACCAGGATCCAGACTGTGAGCCGGATCTCCTCTGGAAGACTGATCCAGACTGTAGGGGCCCTCACAACAAAGACCCTGTCCCCTTTGGTTCTTAGCCTGGAGACCTTGGAATAGTTAGCAGAGCCCTACCAGAGGATCTCAGTCTGCGTCCCGGCTCATAGGGGATAAAAGCTCAGAGATATATGAAGCTGCCAGCTCATGTCTGGCCTTAAAGTAATCAGAAGAATTTTAAATCAGTCCTAAAAGAAACAGGCAGCCGCTTCAGGATTCTGACTCTGAGGTGAGTCAGAAGTGGAGCTGCAGCATTTTGGACTAACTGTGAATTGATTTCTGACTCAGACAGGTTTACAGGGAGTTACAGCAGTCGAGGCGGGAGGAGATAAAGACCTGGAGGAGTTTCTCCAGATCTGAGGCTGAAAGAAAACCAGAACCACAATCAGAAATACTTTGACAGTTTGCATGTCAACATACTAAATAACAGAAATAACAATAAAGTAGGAAATATAACAAAATATAGAAATTTAAAATAAATCTAAATCTGAAGCAGTGTGGATATTTACAGTATTGTACAGCAAACAGAAATGTAATAAATAAAAGATTTAACCTTGATTTTATTTCTTAAATTATAAAACTTTAATTATTTGATGTTCAAAACAATCTGGACATTTAATAAATGAGCAGTTAAATAATTATTAAATATTGCCGTCACCACCCACTGATGGAGGGATAGAAGGAAAAGTTCTGCTACACTAATATCTACTGATTTCTTTGGGACTTTGCTGTTTTGTGAAACAGTTATTTAAGTTTAACGACAGAAAGTCTATAAAAATAAATAAATTATTACATAATTAAATCAATGAATTAATAAATAATAATGTAATTTAATGCTTAATTGTCACCTTAAATTAAATTGAATATGTAAATGTTAAAGTGATTAATGTATTTATTTATTCGTATTATATATTTACACATTTGTACATTTATTTCTTCATTTCTTCACTCTTTTATGTATCTATATATACACTTTCATTTCTCCATAGTGTAACTTGCTGCAGTGAAATCAATCATCTGTCCATCAAAGTCAGGGGGCGGGTTAAAGCCTCTGATTGGTGAATGAACAGTATTACAGGCTCGGCAGGTTCAGCCAGCAGACTGAGCTCTGTTTGATCGAGCTGTGAGTTTGTTCTGTCAGTAGAAGGAAAGGTCGACCTGCAGCTCTCCATCTTATCACCCTGTAGCTGTACTGAAGACAGCTTCATTCATTCCTGTGGCAGTCAGGGCTGATACCAATCAATCAATCAATCAATCTTTATTTGTCCCCGTAAGGAGTTTAGCTTGCAGCACAGAGATAACCAACAGACATACTGATAGATTACTGATTAGAGGGACCAGACCAGCTCAGCATCCTGCCTGTTTGGCTCTATATGTGCCTTACCTGTTTAAAAACTGAATGGCTTGAGGCACAAATAAAGATTTTGATCTATTTTCAGCGACTAGAGGGAGATAATATCGTCACCCAGATGGCAACAGTTCACATGAAGAGACAAGCGGGGGCCTCTTGTTACCCACAGTGTGTTTTGCCTTATTCATCGTCCTTTCCCTGCAGAAACAGTCCGTACTTGGTAACTTAATCCCAAACAGTTTCCTGGCCGTCGTTACTGTTTTCCTAACAGACCTTTTCTGAG